AGCCCAAATTGCCAAACTCCGTGTTTAATTACACTTTGAGTCAATATCCCGTCGTAACGCGTACGTCAACTATCAATTACATCGACAATTAATATAGTACGACACTATTAGATAAATAGAAGAGAATGAACCAGTTACGAATCTCAACGGTAGATACTCGTAGTCAATAACCAAGGAGCCTGACTATAGACAAAGGAACAACGCGTGTTCGATAAAGTCGTAGGCGTGCAGGGGAAGCCGAGGCTAGTATTGACTGCGTCCAGCTAGGCCTGAGAGTGCGTTTGGGAGTGAGAGAGAGGCGACAGCTACTTTGATCTGACTGTGGAGCAATTCCAAGCGGTGTGAGCTTGGTAGGTTGCATTGTCCGAGGGAGCGTCGCGTATACAGGTCTGTGTTGCGTTGGCCGAGGTATGGTGTATTCAAGTGGCCTTTGGCAGCCGTGTGTGCACGCGGGGAGGTCAGTCAAGGGTTTTCAGGTCAGCGAGTCGGAGAGCGTCCCATAAGAAATCGCATGACTTTGGCGCAGCGGGCATTAAAAATCAAGGGGACAGAATTATTGGCTGTCCGCCACAAATACTTTAACAATACAAGCTCGACGGCGTTTCAAGGTCAACCGATGTTAAGGGAAGGGAACAATAGCATGTAGATCAGACAGAATTTCACGGGGAGGATTCAACTCTGCCAAACCTTCTAAATAGTAAGTCAGCGTAGTAGTCATTCTGGTGGATTCTAGATGATTGCTTAGGAAATACTGCTTGGACAGTCAGCTTGCTGTTCCGTACTGGTGGATTACACATGAGCGGTGAAGTTGGGCGGGTAAAATCGATTCAAGTGTGATGAAATTCACGGCGCAGGCGTGGCGTTTGTAGCTTAGCTGGAAGAGCGTTGGCTTCGCGCGAAGGCCTCCTCTACTATGCAGGTTTAAATCCCGCCGGACGCCGCGGTTTTCTTCACAATTGGGTCAACGTAAATTAAGCAGATCTGCCAAACCTCCCAAATAAAAGAATTCAAAATCGTTCAACCGAAGATAAAACTCCGCCTGTGAGTGAGTTTAACTTTAACTGATCTCTCTAGTTACCGACAGGTGTAATTCATCCCTGTCCCCATATCAATTGACTGGCTTGATGAGGATTTTTTGAAAGCAAGCATAAGCTAGCCAATTAATCTTCTGGATTATTCCAAACTGCTACAACTGTAAACTTAAGGGTAAGTCTGATGGTCGGCTCACGAATTTCACATGCATTTTGTAAGACAATTTGCTTTTGGTAGAAAGCCTACAGAATTTAATTTGATTGATTCTGAACTTTGCAGTAATTTAGGCCAACGAGGTTTCCCAAATGTTCAAGATATAAGGAAGTCAGTCGGGACACATTGTGTATGGTAGTCGCCCGTTGGATTCTGGATTGATTACTTAGGCAATCCTGCTTGGTCAGTCAACTTACTGGTGGCTTGGCTAGTCTGCATGAAACTGGGCGGATAATCTGGCCCAGGTGTGGTT